ATAGAAACATGTTTCTGGCCAGTGACGTAATTTGTTTACGTTTATGATCCATGCCGTTTCTGGTATAATATAATAACCAGCGTTGTTTTTAATGACTGATTATTTGCGTATTCTAAAAATTGAACTACAAGAATTCCTAAGAATATTCCTGCAGTCAAAAATACCAACAAAGCAATGGAATGAAAATACACCTCAATTCAATTTTAATAATTGAAAGGATTATTATTTGTTAGTCTTACAAAGAAACACTATTTACGCTACTAGAAAATTATTGTTTTAAAAATAGATCAGATAAGGCAACCTGTAATTTAACTGGAGCTCCGGCACAAATTTAACCAAATATTAGCCTAAAACAGCTTTTTGGGGGTCAATTTGTAATTTTGCCAATTCAAAGGCTTTCGTCATCATTCTTGTTTTGCATTTTTTATGTGGTCAATTTGTGCACTCTTGTAAAATAAAGTTAAAACACGTCAACACTCCAATGAGTATAGGAAGGAAAAATAACTAAGTGAGCAGATAAATGTTATACTGTTGACAAAAATAATAGGATTTGCACATGTTTTAAAATTAAACTTTGCTTTAGGATCATCAAGTTCTAGATGCAGCAAACCTTTGTTTGGCAAGCACAAATTGGGACAGAAAAACAGAAATCTGTTCTTATATTCGTTGTAAAATAACATTGACAAATAAATTAAATTGGCCAATTATTAGTTTTGTTTCGTGATAGTTTAACGTTGACTTAACATGTTTGTTATCCATATGGATCAGCGCTGAAGATAATTATGAGATGAGTTTCTCTCCGGTAAATATTGTATTCATTGTGTTTTGATGATCGTAATTTACTTCACTTTCAAACTATTTCAATTTAAAAAGATCTATTTTCTAATGTTTTGCTGATTCTTCTAGATTCCAATCAAATAATAAAATGCACACAGTTTTTGTAAGAAAATAATCTATTTAATATCGTCAAACTCGCATATTATCGGGCACGGAGCTTAAATAAACAAATGATTTAGGTTTTGCAATAAGATGAAAAATCTACTTGCAGTATCCCAAAGTCAGCGGTTTAAGGGGGCAATGTATCCAAAAATTTGAATTAAAAAAAGTATTTAATTTTTTTTTGTTTCTTAAACAATTTAGGAACAAGTATCAAGCATTGGTTTTGGTTTTTTACTTTCTCCCCCTATACCATAGTATATGGAGAAAGTATTGTTTTCGTCAAAATTTTCGAGTTTGAGTTTTGAGTGGATATATTCGTTTTGGGTCCCCCTGGACCCAAAAAAGTGGTTTTCGAAGTGATGTCTGTGTGTGTGTGTGTGTGTGTGTCTGTGTGTCTGTGTGTCTGTGTGTCTGTGTGTCTGGATGTGTACAGAGCTAGAGACTACACCTGTGGTCCGAATTCGATGAAATTTGGTATGTAGGTTCTAATCAATGGTATCTCCAGGCGTTTTTTTCATTTTTTTGAAATTTTGATTTTTACTGGGGATTTTCCCATAAAAACCCATAAAAAACCGGAAAAGTAGGATTTTTTCAAAAATGGCCCGAACGATTTTGATAAAAATTTAGTATGTTGTAGCCCTTTAAATTCTGAACAAAATGGTACAAATCCCATTTCTGTAAAAATTACGGTTCAAAAGTTATGGTAAATTATGTTATTTTCCCATAAAAACCCCATAAAATAACGAAAAATAGGATTTTAGACAAAAACCGGTTTTGATTTAACATAGTATGTTATTAATGGTCCTTACAATTTTGATAGTTTTTTCATTTTTTATAAATTTTGATTTTTAATGGGGATTTTTCTATAAAACCCCATAAAATAACGGAAAAATAGGATTTTCCCAAAAATGGCCTGAACGATTTTGATAAAAAAGTTAGTATGTTATAGTCCTTTATATTCTGAACAAAATGGTACCAATCCCATTTCTGTAAAAATTACGGTTCAAAAGTTATTGTAAATTATGTTATTTTCCCATAAAAACCCCCATAAAATAACGGAAAATCAGATTTTCCCAAAATTGGCTCGAACGATTTTGATAAAAATTTAGTATGTTATAGTATTTTAAATTCTGAAGAAAATTGTACAATTCCCATTTCCGTATATTTACGTTCACCGCTTACACATTATAAAGGTTGTTGACAAACTTATGGGAGAAAGTATGTGTCAGAATGCTGATACCGTTTATTTAATATTCAAAATGTGTTTTTTGGATTAAATTTCATAAGCGCGCACAGCTGGCTTTTCTGCTTCAGGCGCCTATTTTGGAAGCAATGTAACCAAAAAACTTCATTAAAAATTTTTTTATATTTTTTTTTTATTTTTTTTTTTCCTTAAACTTAAGAACTAGTATCAGAACTAGTATTAGTGAGTCGGTGGTTCAGTCGGTAGCGTCGCGGACTTCGGGCCCAGGGCAGCGATGTCGTGGGTTCGAATCCTGGTCACTGCCGATAACGTTTTATCAGTACAGTTCACCTTTGTACTGTACCGGCTCACCCCTTGCTTTGCTGTTAACGATCCACGCACGGGCGCTTAGTCTATGTGGACGGGCAAATGCAAGGTTAAAAGAGGCCGCCAACCTCTTAAAAAAAAAATCAAGCATTAGTTTTCTATTTTTAATATTGAAAATAGTTTTTAGACTAAATATCATAAGCATCAACAGCTGGTTTTTCTGCTTCAGGCGCCTATTGGAAGCAAAGTGTTTTTGTTATTTCCCGCATATTTCTTTTTTTAGTGTTTACCTTCACGTTTTACAGCATAACTTTTTTATTTTTTTAGCTAGAGAAGTCAAAATTTGTACATATGTTCTTCATTATATTGTGCACAAACGGTAGCATGGAAATTTACATATTGTTAACCGTATTCCTTACATATTTTTTAAACAAAAAAAAATAAACGGAATTTCGTCAAAAAGTTAAAATAAAATGTCCCGTATCTATTTTTAAAAGCATATCAAAAGCCAAGCTACAGTTTGTAAGGCTATTTATTAGCTTTGAAACAAAGTTAAAAAAATTGGAATACGTGCTATACAAAAGGAGTTATGCTGTAAAACGTAAACGTAATGTTTTTTAATCCCCCCCCCCTTCGCCCGAAAGAGAAAGGGGGGGAGACTCATACCACATTTTCTTTTTATTTTTACACTAGGATACATTTTAATCAATAAATAAAAAAAATAGGCCATTTATAAAGAAAAGGTATTTTTGGGTACATTGCCCCCTTAATCTATGAAGGTCTGGGGTCCATCCGATTATAGGTATGTTTGATTTATTATGATTATGCCGGCTCCGGCTGTCTGTGAATGAAACTCTTTTCGTCGACAGTGAAGTGATCATGGAGTTTTCACAATTTCAGACGGATGTTTACGTCCGGAAAGATTTTTATCACTTTTCCGGCAATTATTGTGCACAAGCTTGAACGTCACGCGTTGGCTCGGTTTGACGCTGACCTTCTACTTCTACCTCTACGCATCAATGAAATGTGCGAGTGTTTGGAGTGTCCAATGACGATGATTGAACATACTTCCATGAAAATGTATAACCCTGGGTGGAGGTAATGTTTTTGCATTTTAAAGCTTGATCGAATATGTCAATGTGTTGACGTATTCATAATTGTCGTGTACAAAGGTATGGCTTTTAACACGTTCTCATTTCCCCCTAATTTAACCTTGCCGAATCCAATAATGTTTTTTTTTTTAATTTGGAAAAAAACTCCAAAAGGGTCTAATTGGGACCTTTTTGAGAAATTTTCAAAAGTAGGCCTAAACATGGGTTGTGTGATACATCAATTTAAAGGTCTAGTTGCTCAGATCATTTAGGTGGTGAAAAAATTAATTACCTGTATCGTTAACCGTATTTACATGGTGGGCCCAAACCGTTTATTAAAGGACTTTGACGTTAAGTACCGTATTACCCTAACTATTGAACGGAACATCACCAATTGTTTTCCAAGCTTAACGTTGAGCTACACCAAAATTATCGGGACAATAAGACCTTTAAAATTGATGTATCACACGACCCCATATTTACATTTGAAAATTTCTCAAAAAGGACCCAATTGGGCTTTTTTGGGAAATTTTTCTACATTAACCATTTTATTGGATTCGGCAAGGCCAAATTAGAGGGAAATGAGAATGAACAAGTGTTAAAACTTAAAAGCCATACCTTTATTGTACACGACAGATATGGGAAGACCCTGGTACTGTATAACAAAAAAGTAATGCAAAGCCTTTAAATATTACAGGTTTATTGTTGGAGAGTAGACGATCGCAGGTGACATTAACTTTAAAGCTTGACGAAAATGAAAAACGAAAACGTAAACGACGAGCATTTTTTTAAGTTGAGAAACAAAAGAGAAAACTGGAGTCATTATAGATAGATGAGTGGTTTTATCTTCCCAATATTGAAGTGTGGTGCGCTGTACATCCGTGTTTTTGCAACGTCAATAGGGAAGCTCCCAGCTGAATAAATCTGGTGGTTTTACTAGGAAGTAACATAGCTGACGCTGACACTCAGGTAGATCAAACATTGATAACACATAATAAGTTAAACAAACTGGTTTGCAGCATTCAAGCTCCCCCCAACACATTTTATTTTGTAAATCACAAATCGTAATTCTACCATAGATATAAAACCATCAGCGAGCTTAAAAACCCAACACATTCATCATACCATTGATTGTGTCTCTAAAGTCAGACATGAAATCAAGGATCACACATCAAAACAGGTATAAGATTTTATCAGACTTCAAATGTGTGATCGAATTTTATTATAATCTACTTTACTATTAAAAGTCAATGGTTCAACGATATAAATAAGTTGACATGTGGTGTAGTGTATTACATATACAAAGCAATCGCTTAAACGATTCATTTTTGTTGTGTTGGCTTACTTGTTTTCTCCCAAGACCGGTTAATCAATCAGGTGGTAATTCGTCAGACTCAGACATCAGCTTTTTTTTATCTCGTGAATTCTTAATTCTTATTCATCTTGTCAAAAGTCTTCTTTCATTTTGTGGTTCTCTTATTTATTTTTGGCTATACATAATAATGTTATGATAAAGTAAAAAATAAACAGTGACATTTACTGTTGATTAAGATTTGTGTGTGTGTTTATCCTGCTTTGCATTCTAGGAATATCAGATGAAACCTGGGAAAGCTATGGTAATACTAACATGGTCTATCACTATTTTTCACTTGGTCTAATTGATTAAGCACTTCATAAAAGCTTTACAGGGTTTTCTACCTTGTTACTGTACATTTTTTACGTTAATTAATTCACATATTCAACTATTCATTTTAGTGATTACCTACCAAGAAAGAAAATATTATTGTAGGCTAGGCCTACCTCTGTCATGATGACTTGATAGGGTGTTATAGACCTAATTCCATTTTTGAACTAGGTTGGGGCTAAGCATTTAAGTTTATAAATCCCGTTGAAAGATTAATTCAAATAAATTTACGCTACTTAAATTACGTTACAAAACATTACAAAGTACATTTATTATTAATAAACAATAATTTTTAGCTGTTAAAGACACCAAAACATAAGTTACTTGTTGGTGGATTACATTGATTAATAGGTTATTTTCCTAACTGCTCTGCTAGCTCTAGAATAAATTTAGAGATTTATCTATTAGAAGGTGAAACGTTGACAATCGACTCTTTTAAATTATCGAACAGTTAGTTATAACTTAGGTACTGTAGTAGGCTAGCTTTCGGTTCAATCTATAACCAAACTAACTAACTTAGATCCAAAACTTTCTGTATAGATTGTAGTATCGATAATATGATGGAATCGCATATTAAAGTTTTGCCATTAAGGGTAACCTAGGTCTACTTAACTTAATAAATTCAGTGAATCACAAGGTGACTAACTATGCTTTACAGAAGAAGGTTTGGTTAGTTTTAACTTAGATTGTTTAAAATTCTCAGGTTTTGGTAATTCTGAGCAATTACTTGGTCAACCCCAATTTTTTTCATACTTTACTACGGTCATCAGGATGTTCTTAGAAAACAAGAAACATATAATTTAAGCCCCGCAAGGTTAAGTTAGGTTAGGTTAGGTTAAGTTAGGTTATGCATTAACCTAACCTAACCTAACCTAACTTAACCTTGCGGTGTTCTGTTGCGATGGTTCCCCGTTGTAAACTTCACCGAAAGCCCGAAACAAACGGTGTAGACTCGATTCTATTCCAACAGTTAAACATGTGTTTTTTTTTCATTTAACGTCATCGACCCGCCACATTGTGGACACTCTTTGGTACGTTGCAAAACGCTGTGATCGTTAAAATATAGTGTTAACTTTTCCTGATCTTCACTTAAAACCGTGAAACTAAGTAACGTGTTTCACCCGTCCAATAAAAAAGGATTATCGGAGGAACCACTAGCCATAGCCATAACGGTACTGTCACAACTGGCCTTCCGCGTGTCTCTCGCAAACCACTGTTATCGCTTGGAATTTGAAAGTTCTTATCGCTCTGCAACCTGTACGATGGCCTTGCGGGGCTTAAATTATATGTTTCTTGTTTTCTAAGAACATCCTGATGACCGTAGTAAAGTATGAAAAAAATTGGGGTTGACCAAGTAATTGCTCAGAATTACCCAGGTTTTTGTGGTGCTTTCATCTTTTGGGACTGGCGAGTAATAAGTTAATCAAAACAAATACATGACAGATCATTTTTAATTGGATCATTTTTACCATTTAAGCTAACTCTTACCGGTAGGCCTACATTATACCCAACTTAACTTAGCTCGTGAAAGATAGGCCTCTTTTTATAGGATTTCCCTCTGATTTATTTTTTATCCGTACTGTTAAGTTTGATTTACCTTAGCAACTTAACATAACGTAAATAGGCCTAATGAGAACAAATCTTTGAAGTTAGTTTAACTTAGGCTAAATGTTTAACCAATAATTTTTTACAGCCAAACCACACAACACCGTTGGATGACGCTCCGAGGCAAGGTCAAACCCAGCTGTGCATGAAAGTGTTTGTCCAACGGGATTACAGTGACGGGACTACAGTCCGTTTTCAAACGCATTTCCCCTCTGAACTGGAAGGAAAAGTGAGTTTTGTTATAGATTGAGGACCCTAAGTATCCTAAGTAGTGCTTAAAGTGTTTGATTCATGTTGCCACTATCAAAATAATTAGGCTGAAGCCTACGAAACCCCCACTAGGCATATATTTCATCCTATAAGTTAATGTGAAACTTAGGTTTGGTTGGTTCTTACACAGAAAAAGTGCAGATGATCAGGATAGTTCGTAGGAAATTGGTTGAAGTGTTAAAAGTTCTAACAAATGGCCTAAAGGGCAGTAGCTTACTAAGCTAGCTAAGGGTAGAAACACACATACGGCGATTGGGAGCAGAGCGGACGTTGGGATCCAGAGCGAGCTGTAGCGTCGCGACTGAGAGTGACTGATGTTGCACACGTGCAGTGATTAGCGAGAGCGACACGAACGGGAGCTCGATCATTTCCAAGATATCACATGGTAAGTTCGCACGCAATTTGCAGCACAGCAAAACACTTGGCTAAAAACATTAATTTTGCGTGCTTCAAACCGATCGGAGTGAATGGAGGAAGGATACCGGCTACCGGTACATGGTGAATATCACCATTTGTTTCCAGTTCCTGATTCATGCAATACATGTCTACCTCGACCTTTGAATACATCCTTTCAAAAAGAGAAGGTTCGAGCAGGTTCCAAGGGTAGGTTCAGTTTCCGGTAGAATGGGCGTACAGTGCGGCCTACTGGCGAAGTGGAACTAAAAATGTCCATAAGATCGTTACCCGCTTCGCTCCCAAACGCTAGAAAAACAAACGAGATTGTTCCAAACTTAACCGCTCCGCTAACGCTCGCAACCACAGCAGTTTGTGTGCACGATACTACTTGATTGTATAGGTTTGATTTTGTTGCTCTAAATCACGCTGCTCCGCCCCGCTCCCAGTCGCTGTATGTGTGTTTCTATTCTATCATTTAAAGAACGACCTCTATGCTGATTAGGCACAATTTTAACAAGAAGTAATGGAATAGGAGATTTAGCCTAACTAGTGGCCTGTAGGGGCCATAGCCCCTAATTTAAACTACAATAAAAAAAAACCATATATAAAAAGACAAATATTCTAAATATGTTTTTAAAATTATAAATTTTATGTTAGGCCTACTTAAAATTAACAGTGTTTCTTGTTTTATATTTTGGTTTTCCTTCTTTTGGAGTCGTATATTAGTTGCTTTTGATGTGTCAATGAAGTACAATTGTAAAATAATTATTAAATCAATAACACAAAATATTAACAAATGGAAACGTGCACACGGTTTGGCCTGAGCCCGGAGAACGACGAATCAGAGCTGAAATCATACAGCCAAACATTGCACATCTTTTCCAGATTAAAATTGAAGATTTGTTTTGTAATCTTACGAACTCTGTTATAGTTTCCATTTTTAGAACCAAATGTAAAGGTTAAAATTAATATTAATTATTATGAAGGCCCCCCCATCATAATAATAGTAAGGCCCCCCATTTCGCGGTAGTAAGTCATAAATATATCTATGAATTTGTCCCTGAATTTTAAGACAGTAAGGCCCATTTCTCGGAATCTCTTTTTGTGTAGCGGAAAGCGACGCAAAAGCCATTGTACTGTTGTATTGCCTTATGTTTTTTATGAAGTTCGAATCATGTACAAACAGTTCTATTAGTTCGTCTTTTACTTGTGGTTGTGGCATGTCCATTGTGGCAACATGCGTTGAAATGTCCATTTGTGGCCTCCTCTGCGAAGTGAAATGCGCTACAATGCATGCAAGTGCTTTAAGAGGACCTAGATTGTGAGAAACAACACTCAACTCATTTTCCAGCGTTCTTCTAAAGACAGGCTGTAAAACAGCTTCTGGATTTCTTTCACAGTTAGGCCCTGCACGTCGTTCTCTTTTGCATTTTTTAAGTCTGTTGAATTCCTGGACACTCTTCCACGTCTTGCAGGTCTTCCCCTACCCTGTCTAGTTACTTCACTCATTATAAAAACGGAAAAAAATTAAACTTAATTCATTTTGAAACATTATTTACCAACATGGACTTTTGGAATATATGTAAACATTGCAAATAAATAAGTAACAGCTGATAGAATGCAGACGTTTTCCAGTCCCCATGCATTTCTTATGGTGGATATTTTACGTTATATCTCGTTTTCCGGTAACTTTATGGGAATTCTGCTATTTTTCCCGAGTCCCTGGGGTCAAGACCTTTAATTTAAGACCCCTCCCACTTTTCTGCGACTTACCAGCCGTCCACAATTTTCTGGTAAAAATTTTGTCTTACAGAATTATATATATAGACTAGCTGGCCCGACAGACGTAGTCCTGTCCTATTGTGGTTTTATGTCTCATGCTTGTACATTTTCAAGATGAGCTCGTTCGCATGGCTTAATCACGTCCTGGTTGAAGTTCGTTCGCTACGCTCACTCACCTTTAGGTTGGAGCTCGTTCGCTGCGCTCACTTGCCTACAGGTTAGCTCGTTCGCTACGCTAACTCGCCTCCAGGTTGGAGTTCGTTCGCTACGCTCACTCACCTTTTGGTTGCAAATTAGCTGTTCTCATAAATTAAAAAAAATATAGTGCTGCACCCTGTTGGTAAACCTATTAACTTTTTAATGCTATTGAACATCACAGAATCAGATAGTTTAGTTGAACCAGCTGTTAAGATTCTTTAATTCCATTTAAATATGAGTACTCATAAGATTAACATGGGAAACTCCAGAGCCATTGGGGCGGAGCCCTTTTGACGGATCTGCACCAAACTTCACACAAACCATCCTTGAATAATGCTTAATAATGCCTGAAAGTTTCATTACAATCTGTCGAGCGGTTTCGGAGTCCATAAAGGACAAACATACAAACAAACATACATTGGATTTTATACATATAGATTTATTGTGAATAACTTGCCGGTTCTTTGGTTTTTTTTTTTTTGGAGGGGGAGGGGAATTAAAAGTTTGGGTTACACTACCCGGGAAAAGAAACAGGAAGGGAATTTATGGTGAATGCTTTCTGTGTTATCAAATGGAAGCTGTTATACTATACTGGACATGATATAGGCCTATAGTGGAACGACATGCCACACCACTTGCGCAATCTGGTTAGTTCTTAAAATAAAATTCAACCAAGATTTTCCTGTTGTAGCGTTTTATTTCACCACGTATTTACCGTCTGGCATTTAGATAGAGGTACTTGGGCCATACTAGGTAGAAAAGGAAACCGACCACATTCTGATTAGATACAATGTACACTCAGTCTGGAATTGTTGGGTTGCTTGCATGCACTTACTCCCAAAAGAATTTGTTCCTCTTGCAGTTTCTTTTCTCTGTTTCCGCCGTCTAGTTTCCTTTCTTTTCCTGTCTCATGTAGGCGAACAAAGTTTCACTATTAAAATTCAGAATACCATGCAATTAGCCTAGTTGCACAAAAATATTTCATGGGCATAATGTGCGGTAATTTATAATAGAATCAACAGTGAATGATGGAAAGTTATTTTCTCAGTTACCATATTGTGCTTGTACCTAAACGACTTATTTTACCGTTTGGTTTCCATAAAAGCGGTTTAAAAAAATACCATTGTTTCAAGATCCTTTTAAAGATATAATTTCTTATATTTTTATGACAGCTGAACATGTTTTTGACCAGACCATACAGCTGATTAAAAATTTTATATTGTAAATTGTTTGTTTGTTATATCCATGGTTAAAAACATTGAATGAAAACATTGACCTACATTACTTTCTATTATCAGTAGTATCAATGATAAAAGATTGTTTACTGTAGCTTCAAAGAGGTAATCTTTTACTTTATGTATGTATCGCAAAACTTCTAGTAGGCTATCAATTGAATTAATATTTATTCTGAGTAATATACAGAATAGTTAAAAAGTCAATATATTTATTTATTTTTTATTTCTACGGCAAGCAAGCAATTTATAATTTGTAGGCCTACAACAAAATGTAAGATGGTTTCATATAGTTTCAGTGTTCCCTTGCATTTACTTCCATTGAGATATATGACTAAATATCACCTTGACAAAGGTTTTCTGTTACTGTAAGGTTATGTTTGCTCACCTGGCCTGTGTGATAATTGATAAGGAAACATAACTGTTATTGCATAAGCGTCACGTGAAGGAAATGTATGTAAATTAAATACCGTAGCATTATCGATAGCATTAATCAATTTATAGTGATTTTTGGAACTAAGTAGGTCTACTAGACATGATCAAGAGTTTTAACCATCCAATAACATTTGCTGTTGGGAGTGTTGACAAAAGTGCCCAAAAATAAGTTAACCCTTCAAAAAAATCTGAAAAATGTCAAGCCATTTTTGGCAGTTTTGCAGGCGTTTACAAAAAACGCTCAATATAAAATTACCTACATCTATAAAACTATATATTTAATGAAAGTAGGTAAAATGGGCTATCATAAAACATAAAAATTTCTACCTTTCTGTTAGGTTCAGTAGGTGTAGCTATATATTCAAATACAAACAATATCAAATCAAACTTATTTTTAAGGTTAAGAGACCCATTAAGTATATTTAAGCACTAATAATGAAAAAATTCAAGATAAAAAATTAGTTAAAAATTGAATAAGGAACAAGAAAGGTAATATGAATAAAATATATTTATGATGAGAAAACCAAAACATGACCTCATGTGTTCTTACCCTAACCCCCATAAGGACACCTGTAAAATTGACTGACGGACATATAACTTACCCCTCATATTTGACATTAAAAAACTCGATAAAATATACTATTTATCTCAAAATAATACCTACTAATAGAAATGAGCGCAATTTGGAATCATTTTAATCTTAAAATCATTAGTTTCTAAAACCTCATCAGAAACCTAAGAGCAGACAGCAAAGGTGATGAAAACAAACTTTGAGCAGATGTTCGCTTCATAACAAAGAGTAAAAAAATCTGAAACTAGACATTGAATTCAAGCTTAGAATCTGCTCTTTCTGTAGACCCCAAATTCAATCCAGTTCAGTACAACTGGAGTTAATTCAGAACGAATTTTGTAGCGTCTGCAACATCCTTGGAATTCCGACGATTGATACTCGGAGGGTTAAAAAATCCCTTTAACTTACTGTAAAATGTTAGGCCTATTTTGAGAAGTTATAGCTCTTGTTTCGTTAAATATTTTTTGGTGAAAAAATTGGAATCTTGGATTTAACCTTGTTTCAAGGGGATTGTGTTAGAAAATTATATTATTAGTAGGTTTTCACGATCCAAATGTAGCAAAAACAAATTTTTAGGCCTATCTTTTGTTATGAAAAATGTCTTCAATATTCCTTAGATAACATAAACTCTCACCATTCTTAATTACTGTATATAAATGTTTAGTGACTGGTTTTATAGCTAAAGCGTTTTCCATCCTGAAGCCTGTATTCTTATTTGCTAATACCCAATGGCTTTTAGATGTAATTGCCTTGACATGGTGGTTAGAGCTCCAGGGTAATCTTGACAAATAACCAATGGATTTTATCCAAGTCATAATGCCACAACCCCTAGGTCTAGCCTAAAATAATAAATTGAATAAACTGGAAGGTATGTTTACCAGCGTACATGGTCAAAGAAGAACACCAAAAGGACGTGACTGCATCGTTGATATGAGAAAAATACTGGCTGATCTTTTGGATGAATTTTAGTTTAGTAGAATTTTAGTTTGCCCTGAAGATAAATTGCTGTAGCACGTCAGAAACTCTGGTTACCTCCCAAAAACAGTTGATAACCGGTAAATCAAATTGTAGCATTCACACAAATTGCAGTAGCCTACTTTAACATCTTAAAAACAAGAGTAGTTTAAAAACGGTTAACATATTAAAATTTTCATACCTGATGTATTACATAATGAGAAATGTAATCAATTCCTCTTCACTTTACAGCTGGACCGAGCAGCGTTTGAGTACACAGTCTCACAGCTGAACACCTACTTCGCTGAGGCTGAGAAGGGTTCTTGCAGCACTTACTGTGAAGGCTGCCTAGCCTGCCTCACAGCCTACCTAGTCTACATATGTTCCGAAACACACTATGAGAAGGTAATTTCCAGTTTTACTTTTGTATAACCTTTAAAAATTCTTGGTTTGATCAGTATCAGTTTTGAACGAGATTAGGCCTAAGAATGTTAGAGCCTTTAAGTAGGGGGTCTGCACAGTGCACACAAGACTATTTTGCTTCGGTTGGGGTCAAAAATGTTTTTTGGGTCTTGGGAATTGTATCGCTTTGGAAAATTGTGATTTTTAAAAACTAATAATCTGTTACAACAATCGGTTTCTAGAATAAGCTATTGTATATCCTCTCCTGCAATCAAGGTGAATTCAAGAATATCTTTTGTGGTTACTGCAAAATCATGAATATCTCCTGTGGTTGCAACAAAAATTGTGAACGCCGGAGCCATCAAGGCAAAATTGTATACAACTTTTGTGCTTGTGTTGAAATTTTGTTGAAACTTTTGTGGTTGCGGTGAAATGTCATCATCCAATGTGGTCACAAGACAGTGAAATTGTTAATATTGCAAAAATAAAAGCGCATCTCGGCTCTATTTTTTATCACACACCACTAATATATAAATTATCCAACCTGAGTTTGGCCTGCATATATTTGGTAACAACCCTTCTGAATTAATACCAATCATATTTGGCCAGAATTAATCTCTTGAAGAGCCAAATTGTTGTCCTGGCCTAACATTTTAGGAACCCAAAGACGAAGCAAATCAAATCAAACATCCTAAGTTATTAACCCAGGAATTACTTACTGGTTTTAGGGACTCTATTTTGATCATACTTTTTTTATTTTCACATCTTACCTCAAATCTGTTAACTTATAACTGGTTTTTGGTTGACAAATACACACAGTAAGAAGTGTATACACACTTACAAAGTACAAAATGCATGATTAGATGAGCAACACTAAAAAAAGTGCAGCTTTGTTACAAGTAAAATAATAATAAAGTTTATGTAAGTTAGTTTTCAATCACTTGCATTTGTGTTTCTGACTCTGTTACTTGTTTAGTTTACTATTTTTGAATTGTTTCAGTGTTTACGGAAAGTAGCCAAGTTTGTGATGGAACAAAATGAGAGAGTGTACATGCCAAGAGGACTTCTACTGACAAGTCCGGTGGAGCGAGGGTTGCGAGTTGTATCCTTTTAACAGATTATCAATACTTATGTTTAATTTTCCAAACACCAGTATTTTTAGAAACCTGTCTGGAATAAAACTCGGCAGCTAGAAATTTTATAATTTACACGTTTGCTGCCATATTTTAGGTTCAACGAATATCAAAAACTAAAATTCTACTAGATTTGTAGAAATTCTACTACTGCACATGTATTTGCCTATGTGCTTGAGTAATATGTTTTTGTGTAACCCTATGCATTTTGACAGCTTTTGTGGAATCTTCAGGGCGTCTTCTTAAGCTATCTCTTTATGACTAAATCTATCTTCTTATAGTTTTACAAAGATTTTTTACATATGTCACTGGGTATCGCAGTTGGGTTGAGCGAACAATGCGACCGAGTCACAGGCGGAGGTATTTCTTCCCTCAGTTTGATTTCTCGTACTGTTTAACGTCTTGTTGTTGTTTAACATATCACCCGAGACCATACACAAGAACTAAAAGGTAATCTAATACTGTATTACTTGAGTTCTTGAACCAGGGATGAACAACATTTATAAAACTCTTATGATTTCCTCACATACATTATCGTTATTTTTACTTCATTTAAGCTACAGAACAATGTAGTCTTTTCACTTCATTATTTTATTAATGCTTAGGGTACCATGTTAAAATTTTTTCAGTGGATATTTTACTCATAAAAGCTGTGTTGTATATGCGTGTAGAGTAGAATGGGGTGAAATTTCTTGTGTTACTGAATAAGACTAGCTTTTTCAATCAGCCATAATTTATTAAATACCAATAATCAAAGGCTGATGAGTTCAGATTCAAACAGGTAAACCGTCTTAACTTCCCTACAGAATCAGTATGTTCCAATATATATATTTTAACTATCCTTAACACCATTGTTCAGATAGAGATATCAATTCTGGATCAGCCGATGGTCGCTCGAACATGACTCAGTCTCTCCGAGTCTACAGAGGAGTTTTTTATGTGACTTATCTACCTTGTGTTTGGCAAACACACTGGAGTCTTCCCCGCAACATCGTCCAGCTACCAGATTCTCACCCTTGGCAACCTGAAGTAGAAAAGAATTAACATATGTTAGTTTCCTGTGTCAATCTACAATCGTTTCAGTGTGAAAGTTTGATTTACCTTCAATTTTGTTATATTTGATTCATAGGAATCCTGAAAGATTTTTTAAAAGTTTGTTTATATGGTTTTAGAAAAGATTGATGTATTTGATTGGCTTGTGAATCGAAAATATTGGTACTGTACATATAGTTTGAACTCAACTATATGTACATTCCTTAACTCATTTGCTAGAACCTGAAAGCCCTTCATGGTAGTCAGTTTAAACTCTAAGGTATTTTCAAGCAGGTAAACTGTAGGAAATTGGGTATTTTGGTTGATGTGTTTTTAGGGATACAAAACTCCATTCAAAACCTTTTTTTTATTTGTTTGCAAGAAGAGTGTAAACTCGAGTGTTTCAAACTTCAAATTAAGTAGGCCCTTTACCTTTAATTTTAATATGGTGGAACTATCAATGGTTCATCAGATGATTGATTGGAATCAACGGATCATTTCTAGGTTCTACATTACAAGTATAGTGAATGTGTCGATTGAATCAGTGCTATTCAATTTGTACGATCCAGATATTGATCAAACTTAACTTTATCATAACAATAATAAATAAACTAAAAATTCAAAAATGGACTATTAGTTAAGTTTTTATTTTCAATTTGAATATTTTTTTTGTGTTCAAAACTTCAAAGATTAAAAAGTATAAATTAAAATCTAAATCCACAGACTGAACTCTGTTAATTATCGGCTGGAATTTGGTGAAGTAATGCCCTCTGTAAACTCGATTGTTGAATGTTCCTTGTTGAATTTTGTTTCATTACATGGTTGAAATAATTTATCGTTATTTGTAACTAAAATAATTTTAAACTTTTTTTGTAGATAGTTTTTTGTAGTGGTGTAATTATTTTTAAATATTGTATGACACACTTTTTTGCAGGTCGTATTTAGTTAAGTTTTCTCGCTCCTTAAAAGTGTGACAGGCTTGTTTAAAAGACCAAAATTGTATATATTGTTTTATTGTTTGGGATAGTCTAAAAAAGTGTATTATATACTATTTCGATTTGATATTTTGTTATTAAAACTTAAAGGGAAGCTCATTAAAAGTTTTTTAGTGTGTTTACAATTACTCTTGTACTGTAAAATAACTACAGTCGGGACCACGTAAGTTTGCTTTTGGCGGCAGCCAATTACAAGATAAGGCTAGTGCGACGTTGCCACATCGCCCGTTGACAACACTAATTAAAATACACTAAGTAATATATTCAAATCAGCTGGTATTATTAGATTTGGCAACACCGCACGGTTCTCATTGGTTCATTCAAAACCATATGGTAAATAGGCTCCTCCCTCAACTGCAAACTTACGTGGTCCCGACTCTAGGCTTCTTTTTGTTCATAATTTTATCAACTGCAAAAAGTAGTAAAGTTTTTCTAATCAGCTGACTTAATTTCTTTTTACTTTCAGCTGAAATTTCTTACATAATAAACTGGCAGGACCGCTATTTTATCTGATAGTTTTTCTCTCTCTTTTGCTCCAGAAAATTATGGAAAATGATGTATCAAATTTAAATTTTCTTTTTATAAAAATTCATACCATAATGTTTTATTACTTTGATGCAATTGAATACTGTTTGATATTTATTTCAGTACAGATAGTTCATAACATAATAATATTTTAAAACTGAGTTGTCACTTAAAAGTTAAAATACTCTTAAATTATTTCTGTTTTAAATCTGTGTATGCAACTATCCTTTGATTGTATACATTTTAGGTATATGATTAAATTAAATGAATTGAATTGGTTTCAGTTTAATTTATTTACCAAGTTGGTGTTAGTTTCTAATATGTATATAGTTTTAACTGAAACTTATAACTTTCACAGGCAGGTTTTGTGTACAGTAAAAGTTGGTAGTTATAAATTTATTTATTAGATGTGTGCTAATTGGAAGAACTACTAAATAATGGATGGATTTCCACTTTAAGGAAACAAATCTTTATTTGAATAACGAATATTAACCTTCTATCAAGATCAACTTAATTAGAACAATTATTTTTTATAATATTTGTTTTGAGAGTCTGTCTAACCTTTGACTATTCTAACTTAAGCTTGGTGAGACATGCAATGTTGTCAATTTTGCGATTTCAAGAAGTTAGTTTTTGTATAGAAAGCAAGATGTACCAATTCGTTTTAGGGTGTAAAAATTATTTGTTTATATACAAACTGAAGAGTACACCAGTTTTTAACTGTACAAATAATTTATAAACATCTGTAAAATAAAATAAAAAATTGATGAAACTAAAATCCTAGAAACTTAAAGGTCACTCACACAAAACATGACGCATCCTTCAATTCTTTAAATTTCAAAGGTTAAAATTTGTTCATCCTGCTTTCAATCAAAACAAGACATTGAAAATATTTAAACCTAAAATAAGGAGAAATGTCAAAACAATTTTATAACCACAAATACTTGGGTTTGAGAGATTCTAGTTTGTGTTAATATGCAGAATTAAATCTTCTACTATCATATTTGAATTTCATTAATTGCAATTCAGACATCATTGTTTGTGTACCACATATCTATTGTAATGAATGACTGTTAGTTCATAATATTTCTTCTTGCGAGAGTTTGAGGTGTTCATTCCCCCTTCGATGTTGTATGGGTGACAGTTGTTTGCCAAAATATGTATGTTTCCTCTATTAAGATACTTATTTATTTCATTATATTTTGTTTACCTACATTATGTAAATACAAATATATTTTATACAAAACTAAAAAAGAGTTTTATTTTTTATAATAGAAAACCCAAATGGTGACTTGGTGAGTCAGTAGGCGGGTCTAATGCAGTGTGGGGTCTCTCCTGCTATTTAAAAAAAGTACAATTCAGTGTAATTTTAATATTTCAGTAAACTGAATATTTTCTCTTATTTCAGGGTAAAATTTACAGTTTTCAATCTACTATTTAGATATAACACCATAGTACAAGCAAGTTAACTAATATAGAAAACTAAGTATAGAAAATAGCTGTACTAAAGTGAACTGTTTTAGACACTACTGGGAGTTTGTTATTTGTTGATATCCACTCAATTGTATACAAAAAATGTTAAATAGTTTGCTGTGGGAAAAATTAAATTAATGTTATGTAAACCAATTTTACCCAATAAATTTAAACTAAGTACTGACATAGACCATAGACTAACACAAGTAGACTTAGCTTCAACATTTACAATGGGAAGATAAGTCTACTTGTTTTAAATTCATTGGTTAACCCTGCAGAAGGGGTCAAATTGGTTTACATAACATGATGTGTGACACTGATCGCCAACTAACAATAAAATTGTCTTCAGCTGATTGATAAGGATGATAAATAATACTAAGGACTAAGGAGCATGTTTCGTCTATATGGTACAGTACTGGTGATAATCACTAAGGATCAGTCAATTTGATTAGTATCATTATTGACATTGATATTTGGAAAAAAAATTAAGTACCGGTAGATGTATTATCCTATTGCAAAATCTGAATCTTGTTGACGCCTGTTTTGACATAACTTTTAGATGTTGAATCTTGGCATTTTCGGAAGATTACCCAGTAATAAAATACTGGATATATAGGCAAAAAGTGAGTAAGAGCGAAATGAGATGAATTTTAAAGGCTATTATGGCATCCGATTTGTATAGTTTGTAGCTTGATTCCAATCTAATGAGTAATGAATAAATTAATGTAAAGATAATGCAATAAACTTAAGTGTTGTAAGACAACTTGGAGCCATTTGCGTTCAGTGCAGTCCCATAAAACGAATCGGAACCTCATCCTTCCCCAAGTGGTTCTTTGCAGAGCTCATCAATCTGGTTATTCAAAAGAAAATAGCCCACAAGCAAACATTCCTTCCAGTGCGAGTTGTGTAATGTCTGCAGGAATCTGAGTCGCACATGCCATAGAAACTATTTGCGGCACATAGAAGATTCGATTCCTCACAACCCTAAAAGCTTCTGGAGCTTTATTCGCTCATATGGTGGATCTCCTTTTATACCATCTATTATTAGTTTTAATGGCAACTCTTCCAATGAACCACAGGAGAGAGCTAAAATAATCTCAGCTTTTTTTCATCGGTTTTTCTCGAAGCCCGTAGTTTTACTACCTTCTTTTATATTAACTTCAATGCCAACTCTACACTACAAATCATCTCCTTCTCTGTATTGCAAGTCTTAGAAGCCTTTAGAAAACTTGATGTCATGAAAGGTGCTGGCCCAGACAATGTACCTCCGTCCTTTCTTCAACACTGCAGCGACACTTTGGTCCAACCTCTGACTATGTTATTCAACTTGTCCATTCAACAAGGAATATTTCCTGAGACTCTCAAGAAGGTGCACATTGTTCTGATTCTTAAAGGAGGCAATCCATTGAAAGTCGAGAACTATCACCTATTAGGTGTACCATCCTTTCATCAATGGGGAAGGTTTTTGAAATGTTAAGGCTCTCTCGCCTTACACCCTTTCTAAAACCGCCAATAAGTCCCAGTCAACATGGTTTTACCTCCTCCAGATCAACCATCACCAACCTGCTGATATTTGAGGAAAAGCATATTACGTACAGTATCTGCTATGGGATCAGAAACAGCTTGATGTAGCCTTTATCGATTTTGCCAAGGCATTTGACAAAGTTGACCACTCCATCCTCATCAGCAAGCTAGAAGGTTATGGAATCCATGGCCAATTGCCTTTCTGGTTCTCTGACTATATCTGATGCATTGCCGGCCCCTGAGAGTTAAACTGCCTGGTGCGCTTTCCCACACCAATTTCTGCAAAACTCGTGTTCCTCAAGGGTCACTACTCGGGCCACACCTTGTTCATCAACGACATAATGTCTGTTCTTCTCGTGGACGCTCTACTCTTTGCTGACGATGTGAAGAACGTGGTCTCCAGTGATGATGACTTTGCACGCCTGCAGACAAGTCTCGCCAATTGTATTGGATTGGTGAATTGTAAATAAAATGAAGCTAAATCTTTCTAAGTGATCCGTTATGACTTTTGGCCGTATGCTCAACCTGCACCATTTCCAGTATACACTGAATAACCAGCCTCTGGCGAAGAGTGTATACAATGAAGGGTCTGGGTGTCACATTTTCTTCTGACATCTCATTTAATGAACATGTCGACGACCTATGCAGAAGAGCTTATAGGTTATATAGGATGCTGGGTTTCATCACTAGGTCGACTCGTGGTATGACAAATGGTCTCGTATTAAAGACTCTACTCTTCCTTTGTGCGTCAGCTCTTCGAGTGTGCCAGCCATGTATGGTCCCCCTACCACCTGCGTCTGATCAATAAGTTATGGAAGCTCGAAGCTGTGCAGGAGGAAGGTACATCATAAATGTTTTCTTGAATTGACTCAAAAGCCTCGTATAATATTATTTCCTTCTTTTCCTACACATCAGTGTTGTCAGTTATAAAACATCTAAATTAATAGATAATTTGCGTGCTTGCTCTAAACCTCCGCGGTGCGAGCGTTCAGTGGTGCCAGCTCCAGCTCCAGCCATCCCATGCGGTGTTGCCACTTCGAACGCCGCAGCCGTGGTTAAAGGCGGTCGTGCAAGGACTCTTGACGGAAGATATTGTTTCTGAAGTAATTACAAATCAGCCCAACACTTTATATAGTTAGGTAGAATGTTTTTATTAATAAGGTCGATTACGAGCTAACAAAATAATAACTTGAATCTTCTAGTCCACAACAAAGCAATAGCAGGATTTGGGATTTATCATAAAATACGTTTACTATGTGCTTTGTTGTCATGTTGACATATTTCAGTGAAATTAAAGGGGCCAAAAAAAGATAGACATAAAAAAGAACACTATTCATTATTTAATTATTTACTACGAAATTCGTGTACAGTACGTGTGACTTGTTTGGATACCTAATTATGATGTTTTGATTTGTTAATCTTTTATTAACTATAATCATTGGTGTAATGTAACCTTAACGCTCGGCCGTTTGTAAACGTGATTGGTGGTCTTTGGTTTGTCCAATGTGTCGTCTGCAAGGATCTGTTTGGTTTTCTTCTGTATTGGGTTTGTTTTGTTTTTAGATTGTGGAGTAGATTATAATGTTGTGTGGCCCAGGCCAGGACAAACTGCCTAGTATTTTGCAAAGAGTTGACTGAAAACTGTCCAGGGACATATTTGTATAGCTACTTTTTAAAACAAATCGTGTTAATAAAATGTATTTTTACGTTTAATTGCAATTTTAACTGTCTAATAAGTTATTATTTCCTAATACTTTTTCTAAGGTTCAAGACTAACATTAGGTAAGTAGTTGTAAGTAAAAATATTAGTTAGGCATTCCTAACTTTGATTCTTCTAGCTAGACCAACTTGCATCTTAACAATACGTCTAACTTACATTAGTAAATAGGGTTTAACACTTTGTACTAGGCCTATAGGGTATGTTGCAGCATGTCCTAGCAAATAAAGTAGCATACCAACCTTTTAAAGGATACAATTATTGTAAACTAAGAGTTAATAAATTCTAACCCTTCAGTAAGTTGTTATTAAAATGCCTAGTTTCAGTCTTAACTAGCATCTTACAATTCAGTGAGTCTTTGGATTCCAAATTTGAAGTGAAATATACTGGTTAGGCCTAGTTATGGATGCATCCAGTGCTCGATCATTTGTAAATTGAGATTCCGGAACTGTGTATACTTAATTTGATTTGTACCTATTTATGCCAATATTTTGATCTTTCTGAAATAGAGGTACCGGAACTCTGTTCCGCCACGTTCCCCCGCAAATCGAGCACTGGATGCATCCACCTTTTTTTTTATTTGGAGAGAAACTACAACAGTTCTACAACTGCCGTACTGTTACTTTGGTAGCCTATCATCCGGAGGCCACTTATTTTAGAGGAATTTTTTAACTGAAGACCAAAAATAACTAAGTTACATAATTGGAAAGAACATACTTTAATTGACTTACTGTCCAAATTTGACATGATAATGATTAGTGGCCTTTGAGTTCTGCCTCCCAGAAAGGCAGCGATGTCGGCGAAGATTGAGTTGAATGCGCCGACACCGCTATACCTACTCCGTCAAGTAGGTATACAGCTCGCTGCGGCGGTAATGTTATGTTGGGTTATCATAATATGTTTGTAGGACTTTCCTCTTTTCGTTATGAATCGGACGATACCAGATGAGTCATACTTTCGCCCGCCAAATACCCCATATACAGACAGTGACAGGTGATGCACACGCTCCGGTCAACAACCTGACCTTGGCCTACTTGGAGGGGATTTGGCGTGTGAAAGTATTACTCATCTGGTATCGTTCGATTCATAACGAAACGAGAAAGTCCTACAAACATATTTATGATAACCCAACCTAACATAACCGCCGCAGCGAGCTGTATAAGGGTGGCATCTGGATAACACCAAAGTACCGCAGTACCTTTCTGTACTAAACTTACAGTATCAGCCACGCCAGACTTTATCAATTTGTTTGTCTCAGTCAGTCAAATTTGCATGGATGTTGGTAGGCCTATGATCCATCCTCTGATATAGTTATGTTTGTATCATATCATCAGTTGGTCAGGTAACCATGACCCATTATATTACAGTACCGGTACAATAATTGTCTGTAAACCTTATTTAAAATATGTTAACTGTAGGCCTATTGTATTTGTTTCAGCTGCAAATCATTTAATAAGGAATGATGCTGGCTATACCATGTTTACTTCTAGCAGTTGTAGTAGCAGCTCAAGGCGAAGATATACACACTACCAAAGTTTTCATCATGACGATTGGACCATGGTTTTTCAATTGGACTGATACTAAAAGTAAGAGTAATTTATTTAGTTGTTTTTGGAAGTCAAATTTGTTAGCTCATTGCTTTTGGTTAGCTTATTATTGTAAATCCTAACCAGTTTTGTACTAAAGTAAGCCAACTAATGAACACCATCTTATTTTTAAAATAATTTTTTGCAGCCTTAAAGTAAGTAAGCAGACTTCGTAGGCAAGTGTTTTTTTGGTTCTATTGGAAATACCTACATTTAACTTACCAATCAGGCCTGATCTCTCTAAATTAGGCCTCCTGACCCGTTTATAGTTCAAAAGAATTACAAAATTTGCTTACTAATTGCATATGTCATCCATCGACTTCTGGTACTATGTGTTTCCATATACACAGCAGCCTAGCATTTAGGGCAATGTCACACCAGCCCAAACATGAACAGTTTAAGGCAGTTAGGCAGGTATAGATAGATGCAAGTAAAAAAGTGTGCACTAGTAAAAATGTGACTGGTCGGACCTTGTCTTTTGGTTAAAACCTATTGAATGTTAAAGCCCAAACTATAAGTCGCGCAATGTTTACCGACTTCACTCCAACCCGCAGAGCTCGCAAGCTCTGACTGATCAAACAGAAAGTGTGTTCTTCCAAGCTGTTTAATACTTTTTGTAACAGAATGTCACAGTTAATTTTGACACGTAGAGTTTTCTTATGACTATTTTTTTAAACCTCTGTCAATTTATCTTCATATTGGTGTAGCTCCCTCCCCCACCCCCCTTTAAATGTTGCAAACTGCTCTTCTGTAGACCTGACAGCCAACATCGGATGCATCCAGTATTACTTTATCTTTTTCTGAACGTACCTACAATACAAAAGCACCACTATAGCCAGGCTTTCAATATCTATCTTATCTATCTATGACTATGACTATGACTAACTTGACACTGAATAGGTAGGCTTTAACATTCCTTGTTGTGGTCATGGTCGTGGATGTGTCACGGTAGAGGTCAGGTTAGTGCGAAATCCCCTAATCACTGCAAAGTAGTGCGGCCCTCCTATTTTTGCCTTGCTAAAACCATCTCGCTAAAAACTCAATAACTAATAATGTTTCTGACGACTTAATTTTAGGCTAACGAAAATCTGTTCTCTCTAGTGATTGCACATGAAGTATTTCATAGTTTAAACTTTTAAGTTTTTCAACATATTGTTTCTTGCTCCAGGCTCCCATGTAGGTAACCAGTTCTCATATCGTCCATCGCTGTTGAACTCCCCTGACCTCCCATCGTGGATGTTTTACACCTTCAGTGAGAAACACAACCAAGGATTTGTGTATGGAGCTCCACCATCACAGCAGAAAGACCTTCAGGTGAGACTAGGCCGTTTGGTTTGCTTGGTGCTTATACATTTCTTAAAGATTCCCATTAATTTTACCCAATCTAGATTTTTACAACCTATTGTTTTTCTTTTTATTTTTGAATTCAAGTTATTTGAAGCAAAATTACAAGACCTGATAAAACAAGTTTGACAGAAACCGCATTCAAAACGACAAACTTGGTGCCACCTTCCCTCCTTAGAAGTTTATAGCCATGGAAATGATAAATTTTGTGGGACTATAGAAGATCGAGTACTTACTTCATGGGACCCTTGTCCTGGAGACCCAAATTCAAACTCAATCAACCCAATACAAGGGGAAGGTGAACCATACAGAGGCATGAGGTTATATATTATGAAATAACATTATTAATCAAAATTACTTTACAGTATAAGGGACAACTCTTTCCCTTAGCCCCCTTGTTTTCTTCTAATCACACCACTGTTAATCACCAATATCAATATATATTGATACTGCCAAGAGTCGGAGGTTTAGCTGCATGCCCACCTATCTACATATCAAGGTTAGGTCTCTTAAATATTGAGAAATATCTCTCTTTTGGAGACTGTAGCCTATTCATTTGTAGATGAAGCCGTGTGATGATTTAATTTGTTATAGGCCTACTTTAATACTTTTCATTGAAATGGCGACCACGGACCATACAATACACATTTTTGGATCTTTTGCTAGTGAAAACAAGCAGAGTAGAACCTATGTACTTTTCACTCTAGACTCATCCCTCAAAAATGAATCTAATGTTTGCTGTTTTAATGAAAGCATACTTAACTTATAGTTAAACTAGGTTACTATTACAAAAACCCGGTGTGATATCTTTAAATTTGTTTACAGATAGAGGTGGTGGGGCTGAACAGGAAAAACTATGAAGCTAAACGAAGAGTCATCAAGATGAATGTTCTTGAGAAAGATGGTAAATTTAATTGTAATTTAATTTATAAATCATAAAAATGATACAGCAGGGAATGGTCTTATATTTTAGAGAACAGTGTCATTTTGTTTATTTTAACTTTAAATGAAATTTATTTACCACTTGTACTATTTCCACAAAACAATGCCTCAAAAATGAATTTGTACTAGTTTTCTCTAAGTTCCTCTGACTAGTTAATCAAGTCCCTGATTAAGAAAGATGTTCTCACCACTATTGCCAAATACGGAGGAAAATAATAATCAAGTTCTTAGAGGCCCAACAACGGCAGAATCACTGGAAAAATGCATTTTTAAAACACATCTATTAGGAAGCTGCTCTATGTTTGTTTTTCACTTGAAATTTAAAGGTTGTCATTCGAATAGTTCACCTTATTAGTGAGGTTTTCGGTTCTTAAAACATCTAAAACTGTACAGAAATAAAACACATAATCCTGTTGCAGAGCCAGCTCTCTACGAGGTCCGTCTGAAGGTAGACAAGTTGAACGTAGAAGACATGTTGGAGTCGGAAAGATACAATCGGTTGTTGGACGTGTTCCGTCGCACACTGTGGCCGGACAGTCAGGACGACTTGTACATAACCTTCCTCGCCTCAGCAGTCCATCTGGGCGCAAGACTGCCTCTCAACCCAACCGATGGTGAAGGGTGAGTAAAAATTATATGTGATTATCTACGCCATTGTCCTGTTATTACGTTTTTTTGTAATGAAAATGTTCTAAACCTTGTTACTGCCACTATTTTTAATATCTGTCGTGTTGTCAGTATTGTGATGCACATCGGTAGCAGAGCCCCGTTCTCACAGACTCTCCTAGATCTACAGAAGGAGGTCAGTCCATTGCAGTCCAAAGGTCAAACTAACTGTCCAGACTTCAAACACACCTCTGTGGAACGCTTCTTCAAGCAGTACAACTTCTCTTTGGATTGGTGTGCTTTCTCTCTGGTGAGGATATTATTTGTCTATAGAACATATTTTGCAACAATCAAACTTTTAACAAAATAATAGTTTAAAAGCCGGTGTCTTTTTTTGTTAAGTTTTTTGTTGGTTTCTGAAAAGGTTTGTGATGTCACCTCAGTATGAACCATAAGGCTCAGCCCCAAAGTGAAATTCCGGGTGACAGTGTGACAATGTCGGAGAACAAGAGTCTGCAGATCCTTTAAATTCTCTTTTTCCAGTTAAAACCAAATTTACAAAGTAAGCAATATAAGTTCAATTTTTTTATATTTATTCTTGGTTGAATCATTTAAAATTACTCTTTAATACTTTTTTTAGTTTTTGAAACTCATTATTCAGACACTGAATGATTTCTCTATCTTTTGCCTTCTTTGTACAATAAACTATTTAACCAATCATCACTGTTGTAGAGTTTTAAACCATCAAACACACAAGAAAGTCCAGACAGAAACCCCGAGACAGCTGACACATCACAACAATGGCAACCTGTTAGTCAGCAAGAGTTGCCAACCCGAAACTACCACTCGGAGCTTGCAGTCACATTGATATTGCCACTGTTCTGCTTCATCGTGTTGGCCGCACTGCTAACATTCATCCTATGCTTCCAGCAAGACACTGTGTGAGTAAGGCATTACAGTTGATTATTATGCAAATTTACTATGCAAAATAATTTACTTGCATGTATTTATTATGCAAGTAATTGTCAATAATTATGGTGACAATTGTATGTTTTAGCTGAAAGTGCTAAGCTAGTTAGTCACTTTGTGTACTTTAAAGAATTCAAGTTTACGGTTGTTAACTTAACTCAATATAACATAAAGCTTTAATGACCTGTTTTTATCTATGAATAAATGAGTTGATAGGGCCCAGTAAAAGCACTTTTAATTTGTTTTGTCCAAACTTAAACGTTAACAAATAAAAATCCTTTTGTATCCCTTTATCTAATAGTGCACAATATAACAATTGCAGTATGATTTCATAGATTTGTTACCAATTGTGTTAATTTACCTCTAAACTATCTAAGCAGCTCAAAACCCAGTTTCCACTCCGAAATAGGGTCTAGATCATTGATGTAAGCAAATTAAAGGTTAATTTCACTTGGGGTTGAGTCAAAAGATTCTGTGCAGTTGCAATGAGCTGTATTTTGCTCATAAGTACATCATGAGCTATTAGTTAACAGCTGTGTCTAAGGAACATGTCGGCCTTAGTCACTAACAAGACTACAAGATCGTGCCACTCATCCTACTCTCATCCTTCAGTCATATTTGGGTTAAAATACGCACATAGTGGCGTCCCCATTTTAAATAATTGATAATTGATAATAATAATCATCTAAATATGTAATCAACATCCAGAGAAAATTATGTGTTCGTTGAGGTTGTGCTTGTAAAAAGGGTTTAGGAATGACTCACCTTTATTAGAGACAGCAAAATTTAAGCCCATTAAACAGATAACTTGGCCAAATACAATGGATATGACAATGATTACCTGCAGAAGATGATTGTCTACCTTGTGTTGGATGCAACGAGTTAAAGTTTTTGCACCTAATGAATGATTATAGTGATAGTCAAAACCAGAAATCTCGAATCTCTTTTCAAAGCTTTGGACCTAAATCTCAAAATCACTATATACAGTGGCAAATTTTTGTATTTTAATGCCCTCTAAATACTTTATTTCTAATTTTAATCATCAATTTATTATAACAAAATTTAAATACATCTTTAACTTTAATAGTCGAATAAACATAAGCATGTATCTCAGTTAAATGTGTATATTAAAATATTTAACTTGTAAAGCAGTAGTGCAATTTTATTTAGCTAGACTATTAATTTACTGCTTTTTACTTACTGCCTAACCAATGTTGATTGTATAGTTAGTTTCCAAATTAATATTCCAGGATACAGAATACTTCAGCTGCCATCATAAACTCCATATCTGTAATGTTTGAAGGTCTTGTAAGGTATGTTGCTGAGTTTGTGGAGTTGGCAAACGTTCTCTCTTATCGCTAGTGTGACTTGAGTGGTGTGGTTTGTGGAATCGTATAGACACAACCAAAACATACAACTATTTTATCTTAAAATTTCCCCTTAAAGTTGATAGTTTTTACATTGCTTGTACATAAAACCGTTTCATCACAGTGATTTAACAATCATGTCATAGATGTTAGGACACACTTTTGTAATAAGGCTCTGACTTCATCTACTGCTAGGCAAAATATTCTAGTCACAATCGTCACACAGCTTAAGGGTCCGCTCTACCCCTGCCATTTCATGTAAACACAAGGGTCTGGGGCAACAGTGTTTTTGAATGCTATATTTAATGTAGAATCAAAGTTAGGGTGTAATTTTAAAGAGGATTAAACTATCTAAAATATGGTGGTTGCAATATGTTAACTATTGTACCATAAAGTGAAAATCTTCCTTTGAATGTAGACAAAAAATGACAATTAATTAATTGCTGTAACTTATTAGAATCGTTACTTTTAAATTCTGAAACCAGGATCGCATTGGTTGTTCCTTGTTTTTTAAAACCCCGTTTATTGTTTTTCGCTAGCATGTATAGGCAGCTTAAAAAGGCAGTTGCCGTGGAACTCTGCAACTATTATATTAATATTTGAATCCGTAACAAACCGAACCTACCGAACGCAACATCGTATTGAGAAATCCGAGCTGAGGTGCTTTGCATTGACACAGGAATATTTTTTTTAGGTTATGTCATTTTATGTATTCTAAATTTTTATCATATTTATTTCAACATAATATGTTCATATTGAATAAAAAATCTGTGTCCTTCTATACTAATGTAAAAATAAGGAAAACAGAAGTTGTGTGCAATCCCTATTAAACTAACCCCTGCTGTCAACTTCCACCCAAGCTCAACACCGTTTATTTAAGGTGGGTCCTCCACACCAGTTAAGCCACATATTAGTAAGCTAATATGAATTGCACATGTAAGAGATTTGTACCTGCGCAAGTAGAAATACCTTAATGCTAAACTTGTCAGGGCAACGCCTTAATTGAGCTACAATGTCACTTTTGAAAACATGATTAAAAGTCAAAGATCCGATAAGTAGCTATAGCTACTAGCTGTAGATGACAACTTCAAAGTTCAATGCTCAAAGACGAATTCCAGGCAACATCTTTGTTTTGCAGGATATCCATAATTTCTTTTCACCTCAATTTCCTGTTAAATATAGCAATTACGTGGACTTGCTGCAACCGTCAGTATCGTGCCGAGGTTTGCCATCAAGTCACTGCAGGGAAGGTGTTTAAGTATTATTTCTTTACATGGTGATCCTTGTTTGGTTCCGTTTGACAAACTTTGATTTTTCCTCATACTGTTGAGCCCCAATCATCCAATCTTCATTTACTTGACCATCCCGTATTACCTTCCTGTGAATGATTGAGCACTGAAAAATGATTTGCTATTTCAATGTGTTATACATCTTGCTTATTCCTAAAGGAAGGTGCCAGTTTTATCAATGTTTTGCTCTTCATAATGATAACTTCAAACTGGAAAAGTTTGTGAATATATTTTTCAAATAAACTTAAAACATAAAACATTGAATGGGTTTTACAACAGAGAAAAAAATTACTAATTATTAATTATTATTTATACGTGGAAACTAGCTGTTCTGAATTGTACACAGTTTTGTTAACTGACTACTCGATTCCTGTACGTAGGACGGGGTAACACCTTGTTAATTATTAAATTAACATTTTGAATTTTTAACACGTTTAAAATAGGTTATAATTTGTTTGTCATCCGACCTTATCCGTTATTGCTTCTGCCAATTTTGATTGGATAATTGGGACTCTACTGTATCTATACTTATTTAATACGCAAGCATGATTTTTGTGACAATTACTCCTCCGAAACTACTGAACCGATTGACATGTTTTTGGTGTCATTGGAAAGAGCGTAACGTGAAGTTGTGCAGGAAACTTTCTTTTTAGGTAAATAATTAGAGAGTGAGGCCCTAGGGCCCTTTAAAGTTTCGTATTCCTCCATAAGATTAACATGGGAAACAAACATTGTTTTGAAACTCCAGCTGTTGTCAGAAATTAAATATTAAATAATTCGTTTCCATGGAAGCATGAGAAAATTCACAATGTTTACATTTGCTTTGACATTTTATTGTAAACAACCAGAACGTCAAATTTCTATTTCACAAATTCCGACAGCTGATCCAAAAAAATGTATTTTCCTTCCACCATGTAAAACAACTATGTGGTGGGTTTATTTAATCTTAAACTTTATGATAGATTATTTATTATAAATCTATTTCAATGATTATGAAACAGATTATTCCCGTTGAGAAGCAAAAACTAATAGTGAGAAGAAGAACATATGTAAAACAGTCAATGTGTAAATTATCTATGTTGTATTAAAAATGTGTTTAGTTTTGGATGTTGGTTTGTGTTGAATGATATCGGTTTTTAGTTATTGCATTTTTATTCTAAGGATTTGGCATATGAGTAAGCCTATGATAAATAACACCATTTCAGAGTTCTGCCAGTTTTTATCCTGTAGAGTTTAAAGTAGCCTTCACCTTATTGTCTACATATTGGCTAAACAACTTAGATACGGTACTTTATAAAAGCTGACAGCCTTTTTACGTTGACTATGTAAGCTTACCTTTTCCCGTACATGGGCAGATTGATTGTTAAGAATTAACCCTTTAAACTGGAATAGGACTGTCATGTAAATAGTGAGTATTTCCTTTAGTTAATAATCTTATAGTTGACTCTTTTAAAATCATCAGAAATTATGACTGTTATTAGTTTTTAAACAAGTTATTTGTTTATAATTAACTCCTGTACTTCTTTGCAATTGCTCGATTTCGAGCAACATGTACACTAGTCTAACGAAAACCCCAAACTTTTATTTTGGATTGTAATGATTTTTTGGATTTGACAACCATGTAATGACTTGTGGTGATGCTGAAACTTGGTCCTATTGATTTTGAAGAATACCTTGTATTGGTTCTTCCATCTTTTATATTTACGTTTAAGTAAAATAGAAACTTTAAAAATACGGTAATGTTTAAACAATTTTTTTCAAAATCACTTTTTTTAGTAGATCTTAAGGAATACACTCTATTACTTTTTTTTCTTATTCGTTTATCCTGTCCTCAACTCCTCAACCTTTTTTGTGTCGCTTATGGTTATTTTCTTTTATACTAATGTAACCGCATTATTAATGGCTCAGCTATAAATGATTAATGATGTGTAGGAAGTGCAACGAGGACACTCCCCAGTCACTTCTTGTCCAGTATGAAGCTGTCCATCGAGCCTCCAATACCCTCCGATCCTTGTCCAACCAGCGAGACTCTAGTCCGAGGTATGTCTCACAAATATAGAAACTGAGTTTTAGCAGACCAAAGATTTATATTTTTCTGAGTAAAACTGTTACCCAAAGTTCCTCAATCAGTTATTATAATCAACAGTTGTAATTGGTACATATGAAATCATCAGTATGTCAAAAAGTAATTATATTTTCTGTGGTAGTACTTAAAAACCAGGGAATTTGATCTTTTCCCAGTATGTTTAACATCAATGATGTCCACAAAAGAGAAAATTAGTTTTGATAATGAATTGACAAAAAGAAAATATAAGGCTCGAAATAGAAACCTCTGTTATCTTATTCACAATTCAACAAAACTCAAGAAGTGTGTTAAATATACACAAAAGTGAGCACCATTTGGCATACAAGTTCAACATGTAAATGTCAATAAATGTTTTTAAAGCTAGGTTGCAGCTAGGTGAACTATTTTAAATCTGAGACCAATGTTGTGTTTTTCACTTCATATCACTAGTATTCTAGGCACTATGGGGCGATAAGTCTTGTCATAGTAAAAAATGATGCGCAAAGAATTTGACGTTCCGGACAAGTACGAATGGTATTCTGTGATTAGGTTTTGCAGGAAGGGAGTCAATACCTTTTGATTACTATTAACCCTTTCAGTGCTATGCAACAATATAGTGTTCTGTGTCTTTTTCCCGAAAAGTGCTATGGAACGATATATCGTTGTTCGAGTTTCATTCTAAAAGCGCTAAGCGACGATATATCGTGGCGGTGCTATTTTCGATCGTTTGAGTTTTTAATGGGCATATCGGTTGACTTGGTTGTTGTTTCAAAACAGTGATGGTTTCTTTGGATTCATCATACGACCGAGGCCCGATATATCATTCCTTAGCACTTTTGAGATGAATAATTTTATTTTTAAAGATTTTTTTCTCACACACTAGACTTTGCCCCCGTGGCAAGCCTAGCACTTTTTGGACAAAATAAGTAAATAAATCAAGCTTTTTTTCGGAAAATTACAAAAAAGTATTCTAGCATCGAAAGGGTTAACAGATCACCCAGATGATTGTTTCGAAATAGAAAATGTGCATGAATGGCTTAGGACGTTCATAGGTGTCTGAACACACATTTGCAAAACTGGATCAGCAGCGGGTGTTCGATTAAATTTGAGTATACTTTTCTTAGTGATAGGGGAGTCTTGTCCATGAGGATCTTATAAGATACGTCCCCTACTAGTTTTAGTCATACCACAATCTGCACACAAAATTTCCCTAACTTTCTAGTGATTTGTCTAAGCATAGAAAACAGTGTGCAGGTGTTTAAGGCCACCTCCTATCTCTCTTTACCCCTTGCACATATTTTATATGTTTAACTACTTAAACCCTATTCACGTCCACCAACTGGTGACGGAATTCAAGATCTTTTGAAGACTGAAATCACTAAAATTCAACCAATGATGGAATCTGATTAGAATAGTAGTGGCTGAAGTAAGGAACACTTGGTCTTAGATGTAAACTATAATGCCTGGAGCTCGATGCAGATCTTGATTTAAGGACTCCACTTGTATTATTATTGCAATAACAAAAATCCATTTTTTCCTAGGTCGTCATCAGAAAGAGGTGGTCTGCGACCTAATCCACCCCCGTACACCGGAATTCATCATTCGTAAGTATCTAATCTAATTTCTATTGCATTTAAAATATTTTGCGCTATTGTTTTTTGAGAAATAAACTTATTGTTAACCTCTCATTGACAGAGAAAACGGAGGATTATTAAGTAGAAAAAACGGAGAAACATTATACAGTTACAGAGTAATCCTGTAAAATTTAGCAAATACTTGTAACCAATTACACAGTAATCACTTATTGTTACAGTAGAACCCCTGTTAACCGAATTCGGGTTAACCGAAGCCCGGGTTAACCGAAATGGTTCTGTAAAATAATATAGGGCTGTAAAATAAAAGGTAGGGATGGTCAAGTCTCGAAATTTCGGGAAATTTTAAATCTCGTTACACGAGACGAGATTTCTTTTTGGCCAAGATTTTTATCGAGACGAGAATTTAAAAAAAAAATTAAAATTAAAAACGCCTGCAGAAAGTCAATGCAATACCCGCAATACAGTAGTTGCGTTTCCTTTGCGAAGGCGTTCCTATTTAAATAATTCTTCAAATGTAAATAATATTACTTTAATTATTTTAATAACATTTGAGAAGTTTTGCTAAGTGTTAGCAGTGTGAGGAATGTTTTATTACTATAAAAAAGTCAAAACAAGTAACTATTTTATAAAACTTAATATTTTATTTTATGATTTATTTTATTTTAGGATAAGTTGAACTCTATCCTAACTGATATCACTATGTTTCCTAATCGTAGGCATTTTTAATAAGTTAGGCGTGATTAATAAAAAAATGTTATGCTGATATTTTTTAATAAAAGATTGTAAATATTCTTGCCTATTATCATTATTTTTGTATTTAACAGTCATCTAACAATGTTACAAAATCAGGTAAAAATTCCGAACGTGCATTTCCCGTTGTGTATGAGAAGGGAAATCCCGTCTCGATCTCGTCTCGAAATTTTATGAGAAATAAAAAATCTCGTCTCGTCTCGTCTCGAACTAAAAATCCAATCTCGTCCATCCCTAATAAAAGGCTTTAATAACTTTAGTTTTTTCTATCCCATTGTAACATTTTTGTAGCTGAAATAAAACACTGAATGATATAGACATTCTATTAAGTTCATTTTTCCTACACACTGTGGTGATACATTGGCTATTTTAAGCATATGATGGGTTAACGGAAAAATTGGTTATCTGAAACCGCTCTCCCCCCTTTTTTTCGGTTAATTGGGGTTCTACTGTATTTCAATACAACATTTTAAAATGTAAGTACATATACATATAATTTGAGGTTTTACTTTTAAAATACTCACAAATGTTTTTCATAGAAATTTTCTTTTATTATGCTGATTCTAAATTTTTAATATTCTACAGTAGAACCCCGCTAATCTGTCACCTACAGGAATGGGACCTTGGCCGGAAGGCAAATTTTTCAGTCTCAAAACCGTTAAAGTCACCTGCGGTTGCAGTAAGGTCTAGATCATTTTCTGTGGTCCGGTAAAATCATTAACATAATTTACAATCATGATGAAATCGTGAACAAGGCATGGTCGTGTCCTGCAGTCCGAGAGTCATCATCCTCGTCTGCTACAATCGTGGCCAGGTCACAAAAATCTACCGTGATTAAGGTGCAATCATGATCATCTACTGCGGTCATAACGAAATCTTGAACGTCTCCTGTGACCGAGCAAAATCAAAAATGTCTCTCAAAAATCACAAACATATCTCCCACAAACACGGAAAAATCATGAAGGTCTCCTGTAAATTTAGAAAAAAATTGCTTAATCGTTGGAGAAATCATTAACTTCTCTTGTGATGCGACAAAAGCTTTAGCGTCTCCTGTGATTGCTGTGTTATCATGAACATCGCAGTTAAATCGAATACGTCTCTGATGTTAGTCAGTTTTCAGACAATGATAAGGATCCTTCCCACGCTGGAAAATGTACAACTACACCACTGTGCACAATAGTTCCCCCCCCTCTCTTCTTTGAATCCAGGTTTATATGTTTAAGTTGGATAAAAAACAAGACCAGATAGTGCTGAACAAATAAAAAAAAATGAATGATGCTCATAGTGCTAAGTGGGCCTGGATCAGTTGTAGAATAAAAGAGTCCAATTTACATGTCCGCCTGTGATTAATTTTTCTGTCGTCTAAAAAAAATAATATATTGTAAAATAATAATCCAAATTTAATTTACTTTGTTCCAGAAACAGAGAGGAGTACCTTGATGATGACGATGCCAAGACATGGTATTGTTAGATACTGCAGATAGATTTGTCTTACTGCAAACAGTAGAATGTAGCTCGATATCTACAGCTTTAACTTCCAAAGTTGGTCTAAGGTACGATGTACTTCCACTAATTTGTATTTCTTTAAATCCAAACAAAAGAAGATCTCCCTTTCATAATTTAAATCCACAGCACTAAGACATTTAAGTCCAGTTTCCTTAATCCAATGAAGACTCGGCTATCCAGCCAGAGAAATAAAGACAAAAGGACTATCTTTGACTATGCAATTCATAGTGTAAGACTCCACACCATAGCTACATGACCGATAAAATGTCTTGCACATTTAACTTTACAGTAGTTACATCTAGCTCCTAGAATGTAAATATGATTGAGCTGTGACCACTTCATTTCTTGGAATGGGAGAAAATTGCTGTGAGATTCTAAATTCAAATTAAAAGTATTTATTTGACAAGAGTTAACATATCCCCATAAGTAATACGCAGTTAATGTTTAAAAGGGTGCAATTATTTAACCTAAAAGATTTAAGTAAAACTAGTAGTTAAAAAGTATTAAAAAAATAATTACATTATTTTACAACACTGACGCTATCAAATGTAGTTTAAGTCTTTAGAATAAATCCCATGATAATTAATGCACTAATGGAAGGTCAAATTATATGTTTAACATCATTACCACTACAACTTACTTATCTAAACTACAAAGAGTTAAATCTAGTCTTTTTTGTAAATTTTAATTTATTTAAGATAATAAGTGAACTGTAATACTAGTTTCATCATTTCTAGCCATTCAAAATATGCTCATTTTATTAAATGAACTATTCAATTTATTATTTTATAACTTACTTATAGTTTTATTTATAACTAGCTGTACCCGCGGGCTTTGCCCCGTTTAACTTCTTAATTTTCAAGATGAGCTCGTTCGCATGGCTCAATTACATCCTGGTTGAAGTTCGTTCGCTACGCTCACTCACCTTTAGGTTGGAGCTAGTTCGCTGCGCTTACTTGCCTTCAGATTAGCTCGTTCACTACGCTAACTCACCTCCAGGTTGAAGTTCGTTCGCTACGCTCACTCACCTTTTGGTTGCAAATTAGCTGTTGTCATAAATAAAAAAAAAAAATAATAGTGCTGCCCCCTGTTGGTAATCCTTGTAACTTAAATGCTATTGAACATCATAGAACAAAACCAACTTGTTTAATTGAAACAGCTGATAAGATTCATTAATTCCTTTTAAATATGAAAAATCATAAGGTTAACATGGGAAACTCCAGAGCCACTGGGGCGGAGCCCGAGGGTCCGATCAGAATGAAAACAACTTAGTTTTCCTATTTGATACCTAAAGAATCGGTGTGCCAAATTTCAGCCTCCTAGGTAAATGGGAAGTGGGAGAATTAGTGATGAGTGAGTGAGTGAGTGTGTCAGTGAGGGCTTTGCCTTTTATTATTTACTAGCTGTACCATCGGGCTTTGCCCCGTTTAACTTCATAAGTATTCGCATGGCTCAATCACGTCCTGATTGAATTTCGTTCGCTACGCTCACTCACCTTTAGGTTGGAGCTCGTTCGCTGCGCTCACTTGCCTTCAGGTTAGCTCGTTCGCTACGCTAATTCGCCTCCAGGTTGAAGTTCGTTCGCTACGCTCACTCACCTTTTGGTTGCAAATTCGCTGTTGTCATAAATTTAAAAAATAATAGTGCTGCACCCTGTTGGTAATCCTTGTAACTTTTAATGCTATTGAACATCATAGAATAGAACCAACTTGTTTAATTGAAACAGCTGTTAAGATTCATTAATTCCTTTTAAATATGAAAAATCATAAGGTTAACATGGGAAACTCCAAAGCCACTGGGGCGGAGCCCAAGAGTCCAACCAGAATAAAAACTACTTAGTTTTCCTATTTAATGCCTAAAAAATCAGTGTACCAAATTTCAACCTCCTAGGTAAATGGGAAGTGGGAGAATTAGTGATGAGTGAGTGAGTGAGTGAGTCAGTGAGGGCTTTGCCTTTTATATATATAGATAATTTATAATTATTTGCATTAATTATAGTAGTCCTGCAGATTGATTTATAGTACTATACTATACTATAGACAATATTTAGTCAAATGGTTTTTTTATGAAATATTTATAAAATCAGAGAGACAAGTTTAAGTGTTTGTTATTATAGGTTGTATTATACCAGTTATATTTAAGACCAAAGTAGTATAATGACATTGACTATAGATAACAAAAAAACATCCTTCAAATTCAAACTGCCCCTACTGTTTTTGTTTTTCCGTTAGTTTTAACCTAGAATGTGGTGCTGTCTGTTAATTTGTTTCAGTTTCACTTTCACAATAACATAACAGCACTTGTTTGTTGCGATTGTATGCAATCAAGACAATATTCAAAATACAAAAACTTTTGTGAAACTATTGTTTTTTATACCCTTGCCAGTTTATCTTAATAACTATTAATGACTATATTGTATTTAATTTTTCCTCAATAAAGAAGCATTTAATTTTTTTTTTTACTATTGAATATTTCTAAAATTGTAAATTACTCCCTAAATTTGAGTGGGTAATGACTGATAAGACTCAAGGTATAACTAGTCTTAAAACTTACTTCATCTCTAAACTCTATCATCAAAACACACACCCTGGTGTAACTAAATCGTAAAAATAGATCTAGCCTAAATATCTAAACACAATTAAACAAAAAAAACGAGGTGTTATCATGACAAGGGGATGCTTAATTTTGATATCTTTAGTCAATGGTGATAGTTTAAATGTTGAAATGTGAACTATGTGTAATACTAGTGAATAAATTAAATATGTAGTCAATTAATCGATGAAAAATGTAGCTTATCCAGGGCGGCTCCAGAGGGTAGGCTATATAGGCCCGGGCCTACCCAAAATTTTATTAGATACGGTATTTCAAAATTATAAATATATAAAGACATTTAATTATATGTAAATAAAAGAAAAGCATTAAAACTGACTATTTTGCATCTACATTTTTAAATTCCCTACTTTTTGCAGGGAATCCCCTCAAACCTTTTGTACCCCGATGAAACTCCTTCTTGATCCTTGTCAGGCCTACCCAAAAATTATTCCTGGATCCGCCCTGAGCTTATCTATGCAATTACATATCAATGAGTATTTTTGTTCACCAATAAGATCTCTCTACGATTTTACATGCTTCCGTAAGTGATTAAAAGTTTTAGACTTTGAGTGTGTTCAGCTAGTAACATACAGCATTATCTATAGTTTTAAATTATCACAATTGGGTACCACACTCACAGATTAAGTTTATTTATGTACAGTGTGATCAATATTTTATGACGGTCAAAGAATATTGGACTTTTTTATTGTGTTCATAAACTTATTGTGTTCAATATCTCCAGACAGTCTTTGAATATTAAGTTTGTAAGTTACCATATTCATAGATTGAGTTAAATTTTTATACTCATTAATTTGAGAAACAAAACTGAGTAATTTGTTTCTAGACATGCAAATTAAATTTTTTTTGTTTTTACTCTTTTAATTAATATTGTATAGTTGATGTTTTACCATTGTTTGAAAGTCAGTAGTGTTAGCAGTTGTACCAAATATATGTTTTGTTTTTAATTATTGTTTCAATTCAATCCAATATAAAAGTAGAAATCATACAGGATGTTTTTTTTACGCAACCCAAATTTAAAAAACTGTGAGACACATTTTAAGGACAAAAAAGATTTATGTTGGTATCATGTTTTCTTTACTACATTTCCAATTAGCTGATATACATTATTGCTTAGTTATCTATGAGGTTTAGGGAATGTATTGTAAATAAGACTCAACATGGTGTTTTTCCAAGCTCAAAGGATTAAAAGAATATATTAAGTAAACCATGGGTTTTATGCCAATAATGGTTCAAAGTTAAGTTTCCAGGTGTGATTCTAGTAACTTATCTAATAAATCAATTATTAATGACATGTACCCAATAGTAAGGAAACCGGAAGCGTAGTAAAAAATTTAGACCTACAATACATATTCTATCTTGTCTTGTTGTTGTATTTTGCTTGTCAAAATATCATATTTAGTCTTATAAATAAACTAGCAGAGTACCCGTCCTTCGCACGGGGTTGGAATATAAGTATAAAATGCTTATTGCAGTTATACTCAAGCTTTGCGTTTGCAATAAGGGAGGACACAGTTTTATAAAATTTGTTTTTTTTTAATTTACAGTATTCTGTAGTATTACACATCTACCATAGCCATAAGATTCTACCACTTCACCTAAACTATAGAGAAAAACAAATTATTAACAATTCGCAAAATATCACAAATTATTCATGAAATGAAAAACATAAACATAACTGTAAAAAATCATACTTTGACAGTTCTCATTGCAAATCACAGTTTTTTGTTGCTGCTTAGTTCAAATTAGCTGTTTTCATAAATGCAAAAAAAAATATAGTGCTGCACCCTGTTGGTAAATCTTATAACTTGCTTTTCCATATGCTTAAAATATAATGCTTTTCCATATCATAGAACCAGCTTTTTTAGTTGAAACAGCTGACTAAATTCTTTAATTCCCTTTAAATATGAATACTCATAAGGTTAACATGGGGAATTACAGAGCCACTTGGGCGGAGCCCGAAAGGATTTTTGAGATAAGAATATGCCTATATGTTAATCGGGAATGTAAGCTATCATTATGCCAAATTTCAGCCCAATCCGTCCAGTGGTTTATGCGTGATTGAACTTCAAACAAACAAACAAACAAACAAACAAACAAACTTTCACATTTATTATATTAGTAAGATTCCTAATAACACTAAACCTCAAAGATAACTATGCAAAAGTGCATATCAGCTGATCGGCAACGAAGTAAAGAAGACAGGGATACCAAGATATAAGCTTGTTTTGTCAAAAAAGTGCCTCACAGTCACAGTACTTGTAATAATATTTGTGTTGTTTGAAAAAAAAAAACATCCTGTATTATTACAGTTTTTAGGTTATCCTGTGAGTGAGATATTCCCGAATATCATTTACTTGCTTAATGATATGTGACAATGAGGTCATGTGCTGATGGGTGCTAGTTCATTATTGCAAAAGCAAAAGTTGTTTATTGGGTTGATCTTATTTTGTCTAAAAGTTACGAATCAAGTAGAAACCCAGTTCCCCCAGTTCCTAGTAAAAAAATCTCTTAACTTATAACTCAATGTGAGTGTTTCATTAAAGAAGGTTTAAAGTCTAAATTATGATTTAGACTTTGATAACTCTGCTATCAGTCACACTACCAACTGAGCCACTGACTACAAAATATTTATACCTAGAATATTACAGCCACAAAATTTAAACTGGTGGATCACGCAAAGTGTTTAGTACGATTTTCTTTAGCTCATTGAAAATTAAAGGAATTAAAGGATTATTTTAAATATTTGCCATCCTCATATCTCAAAATAATTCTGGATTTAGATAACAAATTTACACAGCATTGTGTTTTTTTGTGGTTTCTTCTAAATAGGTCTCTTGCTCTTAGACCTCTTAGATATAAATATTACCTACATAAATAAAATTATAGAGGGATTTTTTCTTTCTTATGAAATCAAAAGACAATTTGAATTTATGTCCAAGAAAAACTTCTTTCGAACATAAGTCAAGGTATTTTAAGATAAGTCGTGAGGGACCAAAAAAACACATTACAGCCATTTTACTCCCCAAATAATGTCTTGGTAACACCCACGAATACTAGAAAAATACCAGCATTGATCAAAAATATAAACAAATGACGTTTTTGGCCTGAAAATAAACATTATTTAACATT